CCATATTTAATTACCTACACAATATTATAATACAACTAGAACACACATTTTTGGATTAAAACCCCCCCCGAAATTAATTTCCAGTTACGGCCTTGATACAGTCCACTATTTTGAAGTTTTATTTTTTTCATATCTTAAGTTAAGTTATATAATATATAAGTACTTAACATTTTGGTCCTTCGAACCGGATCGTGCCAGGAACAAGTGAAGGAAAATTTTATTTAACACGTGCGTGTCGCATCATTGGCGTTATATTCTTGGTGTACCCCGCGAAGTGTCAGTGTCGTGCAGTGGTGCAGCAAGGAGAAGCAGATGCGAGCATTGGCAGTGGTAAGTGAGCTCAAATTAATTAAGCGGCATTTATTCATATTGATTCCTATAGTTCCATTTTATTGTCCCGTCGTTGTATAAAGTTAACATTTCAATATTCGATATTTTTAAACGAAAAACCCATCGTCAATTAGTATATGTTATAACAGCAGGACGCAGTTACAATATAATATAGACTATTTGGGAATTTTGTACCGCAGATAGCAAACGAGATATTATAACTATCTATATGACTATATTAGTAAATATTCAGTAACAATGCCTGATAAAGATAACGAAATTTTAATGCGCACTGCTCGACGAGGCCAAATAAAAACTCAAATCACCAAATTTCAAACGTATGTATCAGGTTTAGCAGATAGTGACAATCTGACGCAATTAAGGTTAAGAAAAGAAAAGATAGAGCAATGTTGGGAAGAATTTAATTTAATACAGAATGGCCTTGAGGCACTGACCGATAGTGCAGAACAAAGGCAGTATAGGGACGATTTTGAAAATGCATATTTCTCAGTATTGGCTGAAGCAGAAGATAAGTTATCGGTACAGAAATATGCAAATAAGCAACCAGGTGCTGAAATAGAAAATGTATCGATCCCAAGCCAATCAACAGTGAGCGCTCCGTTAATCAAAATGAGACCACTAGAAATACCTACGTTTACGGGAAACTTCGAAGAATGGTCCACATTTCAGGACCTGTTCAATTCGATGGTACATTTGAATTCAAACATAGCAGAGGTGCAAAAATTTGTGTACCTACGAATGTATTTGGCGGGAGAAGCATTAGGTATGGTGCAAAATTTGGCTACTAATGCAGCAAATTATACAGTAGCATGGACAATGATAACCACTCGATACAATAATAGACGCATTCTTATACAGTCGCACACAAAGGCGATTTATGAGTTAGAGCCTATTTACAAAGAGTCGGGATGGCGGTTGAGAGCGTTAACAAATAATTTAAATATGCATATGCAAGCATTAAAGGCACATGGTCATGACCCAGAAGGGTGGGGTGCATTGTTGTTGCATATAATATTAATAAAATTGGACCCTAGTACAATGAGAAAATGGGAGTCAATTGCAACTAAAGATGAGTTACCCTCTATAGCGCACTTAGTACAATTTTTACAGGATCGCTGTCAAATATTAGAAGCAGTTGAAAATACAAAAAAATTATCAAGTCGTTATAATCAGCAAAGCCGTACTGGTGGGCGTAATCAAATCGAAAAGAATGTACAAAATAGTAAAAAAATTAATTCATTTGTTGTTACAAATCGAATGCAGTGTTATATGTGTAAACAGCCGCATCCGATATATGGGTGTAAAGAGTTTTTGTCATTAAGTACGGCAGAACGAGGAAAGCAGGTAGACAAATTAAAATTATGCCGTAATTGTTTGAAAAGCGGTCATACAGATATAGGTAAGTGTGGATCAAAACGAACGTGTTCAAAGTGTAATCTAACACACAACACTTTATTGCACATAGATAAAACTATAAATGCACCAGTATTAAATGAATGTGAAGAAATGTCAATCGCTACTCATGCTGCACAAGGCAATACGCGTGATCATGTGCTATTAGCGACGGCAGAAATAAATATATTGAATGCATGTGGTGAACCGGTTTTGTGTCGTGCGTTGTTGGATAGTGGGTCGCAATCTAACTTCTTAACGGAAACAATAGTGCAGCGATTAGGTAAAAAGAAAATCAAAATAAACAAATCAATAGTAGGAATTAATGGAGTCATAAATCAAGCATCCTATCAAATAAAGGCGACCGTGCAGTCGCGAGTAAATACATTTAGTGTAAACATGGACTTTTTAATATTGCCCAAAATTACGGGAATGCTGCCCACAAAGCACATTAATAAATCAGATTGGTCAGTACCATCCAATATAAGTCTAGCAGATCCAACATTTTCAAAACCCGGAAAAATAGATATGCTAATTGGAGCTGATACATATTGGGAACTCATGCGTGTCGGTAATTTTAGATTATATGATGGTGGGCCGTTTTTACAAAATACAGCATTAGGATGGTTAATATCCGGAAGTGTACCAGAATGTGATTCGGATAGCGATTCCGTCGCGTGTTGTGTGGCTGGTGATTATGATTATATGAATATCGATGAACGCATAGAGGCGTTTTGGAAAATTGAAGACTGTTCCGACAATGTTATAGATACAACATCTGAAGATGAAATATGTCGAAAGCATTTCAATGATAATGTGACAAATGATTATCGCGGGAAATATATAGTCAAACTACCTTTTAAAAACAACGTTGGAAACCTTGGAGAGTCGTATACGACCGCATTGAGACGTTTTTTGTCATTGGAGCGACGGTTAATGAAAAATCCACAACGTTATGATCAATATAAACAATTTATGAACGAGTATGAACAATTAAAACACATGGAGGTGGTGCCAAACGAAATAGATAAGCCAGTAAAATCATATTATCTGCCTCACACGTACGTAATAAATGAGAGCAGCCGGACTACAAAATTACGTGTTGTTTTTGATGGGTCGTGTAAGACTGATTCCGGTTTATCATTAAACGACGTATTAAAGGGCCTGTGTTGCAAGATGATTTAATTTTAATTGTTATTCGTTTTCGTACACACCGTTATGCATTTTCAGCCGACATAAAGAAGATGTACAGGCAAGTATGGGTAGACAGTAATGGCCGAAATTATCAACGTATATTATGGAGAGATAAAATTAATGAGCCTATAAAAACGTATCGACTATGCACAGTAACGTACGGTACAGTACCGGCTAGCTTCTTATCGGTTGCATGTTTACAATTAACAGCGTCTAGCGGAGACGTGCCGTCAGATATATCACAAATAATACTAAGTGATTTCTGCGTAGACGATTGTTTGACCGGCGCCTCGTCTATTCCACAAGCAATCAACCTACGTGACGGGTTAATACGGCATTTAAATAACAACGGTTTTGAGTTAGATAAATGGACATCAAATAATTCAAATTTACTTAAAAATATTCTAAACCCCAACGAGAACTCAGTATATTCATTGGATATGAGCGACAAAGTAATTAAAACCTTGGGTTTATTTTGGGCGCGGTTACCGATTGTTTTGTATACAAGGTACATTTACCGGAACATAATAATAAGATAACTAAGCGATATATCTTATCAAATATTGCCCGTCTATTTGATCCCCTTGGGTTGCTAGGACCTGTTATTGTAGTAGCGAAACTATTAATGCAATTATTATGGAAACAGAAAATTAATTGGGACGATGACCTATCTATAGAAATAAAAAATAAATGGCTGAATTATATTAACGATTTAAAAAAGGTAAATAATATAAGCGTTCCACGGTGGCTACAATGTGACGACGAAACGAGGGAAGTAGAGATACACGGATTTTCCGACGCGTCATGCGTTGCATACGGTGCCTGTATATATATGACGTGTACTGCTAGTGACGGTGATCGTACTTCACGTTTAGTATGTGCCAAATCGCGAGTGGCCCCTCTCAAAAGTCTATCTATTCCTCGTTTAGAACTGTGCGCTGCAGTCCTTCTTTCAAAATTAATTAAAAAAATTGTACCGTCTTTGAGACTTAAAATCGACCGTATCTTTTTGTGGACGGACTCAAAAGTGGTTTTATCATGGATAGCTTCTGATGCCTCGCGCTGGAAAATCTTCATTGCGAATCGAGTTGGGGAAATTCATAATCTCACCTCAAACTATTCTTGGGGATATGTTAATACAAAAGAAAACCCAGCTGACGTGTTATCGAAAGGATGTGCTGTTCAAGTGTTAAAACAAAATTCGTTATGGTGGCAAGGTCCAGAGTGGTTAACTACGGAAGTAAAAGAGCACTCACCTGTAGATAACACTGATCCAGACAATATTACTTTATCGGAAGAGAGAAAAGTAACGACGTCATTAATCACCACAACACAGAACACGGACAATTATTTTATTAGTGTGTGCGAAAAATATTCAAGTTTAACAAGGTTTCAGCGAATATTAGCATACGTATTACGGTTTAAATATAATATTGACTCGATAAAACTAAATCGATTACAAATTACCGGTCTTTTGACGGTAAAAGAAAAACAATATGCATTAGTTAAATTTATAAATATTTTACAAATTAAATATTTTCCTAATCAACAAATGAATAAAAAATTATCATCGTTAAACCCGTTTATAGATAGTAGCGGTCTTATAAGAGTGGGTGGTCGGTTAACCAATGCAAGTGATTTAAGTTATGATCATCGTCACCCTATAATAATTCCATATGATAATCATTTTAGCACTCTTATTTTTAGACATGAGCATGAATTGTTACTACATGCGGGTCCTCAGGCAATGTTGGCCAACGTGCGGCTCACGTATTGGCCGATAAACGGGCGTAGAACAGCGCGTAAGGTTGCTCATGCTTGTATAACATGTTTTAAAAATAAACCGAAAACACTCGAACCTATTATGGGAAACCTCCCGAAACTACGTGTAGATCAACCGATGCGAAGTTTTGAAAATGCAGGTGTGGATTATGCAGGCCCTATAATGATGAAAATCAATAGTCGACGTAATTCGCCGTTACAAAAGGCATATGTATGTATATTTGTGTGCCTAGCTACAAAAGCAGTACACATTGAATTAGTATGCGACCTAACTACCGATGCATTTATAGCTGCATTGACCCGATTTATTTCGCGCCGTGGTAAATGTAAAAATATGTATTCGGAC